GGGAGGGGGTGTGGGTTTGGGGGGGGAAGGGAAAGGAGAGAAAGCGGGGAAGTCTATGGGTGGAGGAGGGGGTTGTAAGATACAGAATGGTTATCGTAAAAACCCACTTCCCCACACACTATATACATACATACATACGTATGTATGTATGTATTTCAATGCAGCGCCATCCCCGAATGGAGGGGCTGCGGAGTGGCTCCGTAGAGTGTTGGCAGTCTGAGTCGGGGTCGGGAGCACACAAGACTAACCGACTTGTGCTGTGTGCTCCCGACCCTTGCGCTGTGTTTCGGCTTCGGCCCCCGGTTCTCGCAGCCCACAGTGTAATCTAAGTCATACATACGTACATACATACATACATACATACATACATACATACACCTTCACCTTGAGCAGCGCCTGCGACACGAAGTCCTGGAACACGGGGCTCCACTTGTCGAGCTGACTCAGCCGCGGGGGGGGGTCCCGACCGATCATGAAGATGACCCGCAGGGGGTGCACATTCCAGCGGGGGGGCCGTAGCTCGGCCATTTCGATGGCGCTGATGCCCAAAGCCCAAACATCCACCTAAAAAGGATATACGTGAGAGCGCGGGTGCGTATGTATGTATGTATGTATGTATGTATGTATGTATGTATGTATGTATGTATGGGTGCGTTGTGTGTGAATCTGCGTGCATGGGTTATAGCGGGGGTGAGGGAGGAGAGAGGAAGGACTCAAATGCCGATATGATCCCCTCCTTCCCGACCAATGCACACCTGCTCGTCTGTAGTATCTCTACATCTTCTCCCCACCCAACCCCCGCCATCCACCCAAACCCAAGTTCACCCCTGCTTTCCCTCCCCCCCCTTGCTTTACCTTCCCATCGTATCTGCTCTCCTGAATTACTTCGGGGGCCATCCAGTGGGGTGTGCCAATGAAGGTGTTGCGTTTGCTCATGGTGGCTGTGAGCTGGGCTGACACACCTGGGGTTGGGGTGGGGTGGGGTGGGACGCAGGGAAGAGCAGGACAGGGGGGAGGGGGTAGCGTTGGGGTTGCATTTTTAATGCGTTTTAATACATATATATATTATTCAATTTAAATTATTTTATATATGTTATATGTTAATCTCTTTGCATACATCGGAGAAAAGGGTGGTTTTGGCGCGCAGACAGGCAGTAGGACGTTACTATTATTATTAATGTTCATGATACCTCTGATGATATTATCTTATCTTACTGGTGATATAATTATAATAGTAATAATTTTATTATTATTATTACTATTATTATTATTTCTTTACTAGTTTACTTGGGGGACGCACAAGCAAAATTGTGTGCAGAGCTTCCGGAGGTTATATTTGGCCACCCACCATCTGGCGTTATCCGCGACCCATGGGTCATTTCCACCACACCCGGCACCCAGGCGGGATGTGCCGGAGCGGGCCACACCTCACACCCGCAGCCTCACTCACCAAAATCCGCTATCTTGACTTCCCCTCCCGTTGTGAGCAGGATGTTGCCGCACTTTATGTCTCGGTGCACCTTTCCCAGCCCGTGGAGGTAGGCTAAACCCTGGGGGCGGGGGCGGGGGAAAGGGGGGGAAAGACGAACCACATGGGGGGATGGGGGGATGGGGGGGGAAGGGCGGGCGGGCGGGGGAAAGGGGTGGAGGAAGCGGGTTTGTCGACCGGGGGGGGGAAAAAGAGGGGAACGGAGAAGATTTGTAGAAATCGTGATGAGGGGAAAAAAACATGGAGCTTTGGAGACGTATAAATCATTGCGTAGATGTCTGTCTGTCTGTCTGTATAAACAACCTATGAGCGTACAGCATATGGTCATAAGGTCAAAACCGCTAGGCATGAGCCCACACATACATACCCACACACATACAAACACCCACACTCACACTCACCCACATGCACGCCCTCTCAAATCTCTCCATCTCACATTTCCCCCACCCGCCCTTCTTATTCCTTCCGTACACACTTCTGCAGTACCCATCTGTCCCTGGTATCAGCTTCACTGTGTGTCAGCGGTTCGTCCTTTTTCCCCCCACCCCGCAACCCCACCCTCA